GCCAGCAGGGCAACAATCGGGACAACCATCACCACAACCGTCGGGACAACCATCGGCAAAAGAGCTGGGACAAGACATCGGGACCGCCATCGGGGAAACCAACAAGAAAACCATCGGGCCAACAGCCGGCCAACAGTCGGGACAAACATTGGGCCAACCATCGGGACGAACATCGGGACAGCCAGCCGCAACCCGAACGCCCAGGGCGGGGCCTCTCGTGTTTGCCCAACTTCGCCGCGCCTCGCTCTCACGCGCGTCACGCTCGCCACGAAGCGACACCGAGACCGACTCCCCGTTGGGCGACGGCGGTTCACCTCGATCTCAGCCTCTAACCTCCGAGCCCAAAGATCCATCGCATTGAAAAAATCAACTACTCCGACGGAAGCACCCCGCATGAGAATCCTCTGGGCGAATCTGGAAAAAGCCCTCGCCGTCGTCCTCGTGGTTGGTGAGGCGTCCTGGCTGTCTCTTCTGCGTATATTTCTTCTCGCCCTGGCGCGGGCCCTCCCCCCGCTCCCTACGTTGCCCCCGACCTCGCCCTCCTGTTTTGGTTCCGGACATTCAGAAAGTGACCCGGGAGTGTTCTGGGAACACGAAGAACACGAAGTGGCCTACAATTGGCCGCGGGCATTGCAATGTGGCCCAGGAATGGTGTTCTGGGGAGACGAAGAACACGAAGTGGCCTACAGTTGGCTCCGGGCATTCAAAATGTGGCCCGGGAATGGCGTTCTGGCAGCGCGAGAGCCCAAAAGTGGCGACAGTTACAGGAATTGGATGACCCGCTCGGATTTGTAACATGATCCGCGGGCCCCATAGGGAGGGGGCTCCCGCTTGAGACTTCCTCGCAATTCACTCACAAATGTGGCCTGGGAATGGCGTTCTGGCAGCGCGAGGGCCCAAAAGTGGCGACAATTACAGGAATTGGATGACCCGCTCGGATTAGTAACATGATTCGCGGGCCCCATAGGGAGGGGGCTCCCGCTTGAGACTTCCTCGCAATTCACTCACAGATGTGGCCTGGGAATGGCGTTCTGGCAGCGCGAGAACCCAAAAGTGGCGACAATTATAGGAATTGGATGACCCGCTCGGATTAGTAACATGATCCGCGGGCCCCATAGGGAGGGGGCTCCTGCTTGAGACTTCCTCGCAATTCACTCACAGACGAGGCCCAAGGCGAGTGAGTGAGTGAGTGAGTGAGTGACTGACTGACTGGGGATGATGATGACCACCACACTCTCTCACGCGCACGCTCATCATCATATGTGAGTGCTGATGAGTGAGTGAGTGAGTGAGTGAGTGAGTGAGTGAGTGAGTGAGTGAGTGAGTGAGTGTGTGAGGGATGATGAGTGAGTGAGTGAGTGAGGAATGAGTGGTGATGATGATGGTGGGTTCCTGTTCCTGCGCGGCGTGTCCAGAGAAAACAAGAACCCCATTTTGGATGTGGGAAAAAAAAAAAACAAAAGGTTTTTCGCCATGCTCGGTGTCTAGGGGCCCTCGCTGGGACCTGGGGCCGTCAGGAGAAAGAACCTGTCCTGGAGAATGGGTCGAGGCTTCCGGGGACCCCGCATTGAAAAAACACAACATCGGCTCTCTGGGACCTTAACCAGATTTACCCCCACATTTGGCCACATCAGCATTTCCAGAAAGACACGGGCCGGCAGTGACTCGCCGTGGGCGTCTTCGATATGCCTTTCGTCACATGTTTTGTCTGCCAACGTAGCGTCGTGATTCATTGTTTGCTTTACATCGTTCATATGTGGCCACCTGGTCCCCTGACATAGGGTGTGATTTACAATAGCAATAACAAGCTTCAAGCGTTTTCAACAATGCCTGCGCATACGTGACATCGTCTTGTCCTTCGATCTGCCGTCTAAGCACGTAGTTGTAACACGGGCTGTATTCCAGAATGCATGCGGCCTGGTTGCCTCGTTTTGTTGCGACTCATATTGCAAGTGCTTGCCAGTCCCGTTGTCTCCCGTTGCCTCCTATTTTCCCGTTGCCTCCCGCTGTATAGCATGAAGGTCAGCATCAGTAGCAACAGTAGTTCAATTATGAATATCGTACCCGATGCAATCGCATCACTTCCCGCACTGTCATCAGCATCAGCCGGCTTGCATTCGTATTGGACATGATGGTAACATGGGTATTACTATTCGTAACAATATTGGTCTTGATATTAGTGTCGGCATCACTGTTGGCATTCGCATTCGTATTCGTACGAGTACCAATCTTTATCTCGATACCAGAGGTTAGTAGACCACCTAAGAATTACCTTGAGTAGTCGTCGTAGTCGTAGGAACAATACTAGAAGTTGTGATATGACGAAGTTGGTAGCAATCGCATAGTTGTGAGGTAGACAACCTGCAACTTAGCATTGCTATTGTTAGAGTCAGTGTTAGTACTAGCACTAGTTTTACCTCTGATAGCTCGTCCGATTGAAAGAAAAGAGTTGTCGTCGTCGTAACATTGACGAGTCGGTGGGCTGCTGGGCCCCTGTGGAAAACTGCTTAGGGCATTCTGTCGCGAGGATGATATGTTACATCATGTTCGTATGTCGTTCTCGCTTATTCTTGCGAGGGGGGGGGTGTCCCGCACATCCACCATAACCGCCTGTTGATACGACTTGGAGTCTGCTATAATAATGCCAGAGGCCTGCCGATTTTCGCATGGATTTCAGAAACTGCCGAACGTGTGACTTACGTAGGCGTCCCAGCATGCTTGTTCTTGGAGATGCAACAATTTGCACCGTTTTTTGCCAACATCCGTCATGTGTTCTTGTTTGTTTATCCGCTTGCGTTTCCAGTCTGCGGCTTGCCACTGGAGGCTGCCGCTATTTGTTACGTATACTTGTATGGATGAATATCACTATCGTGTCCAAGCCCACTACCGCATCATCCGATGTAATAGCGACCGCATATGCCAACTCATTTGGTGTGGCACTGCACCCACATGTCATTTCAGCAAACTGCAAGTCTGCGAACGACTCTACAATTTTGTCAGTCGCTTGCGTTTGTCAGTGATTGTCTCCCTCCCTCACCCAACAACACTTTGTGAAACATGTCATGGTGAGTCGGCCCTGTATGTTCGGTTCCGCGGTGGTTGCCAATGGGATGTCGCCATCAGGTCCCACCCAATGCCCCTGTGTGTTTAGCTCGGCCGTGGTTGCATGTCAGGAACGAAATGAGAGCCGACTTTTGGGCCGAAATCTAAGCCTTCGTCGTAGAACACCGTTCACCACTGATGCCTGACCCCATGAACCGACCCAAGGGCTCCAATCAGTGACCCCGATCTCCTGAGAAACCGATTGGAAATGGTCTGGGAACTCGTAGGCGGCTCGGCGCGTGGTCCGAACTAAAGGTGGACATTTTTAGAAAGGCCGAGCTGGAGGTATGTGGCCACTTGTCGCGCCGATGGCCGACCATTCGAGATGGAGGCCAGAAGACGACAAGCTGAGCTGAAGGCTAGAGCATGCGCCACGACAATCTGGAGCCTCCTGGGACCCCGTCCAGCACCGACCCGCGCCTGCTCCCGGGGCCGCTTCTGGACCTCCGATCTGCAGCCGGCGCCGGAGACGATGAGGCGGCGCTCGTGCTAGGAGCCCGCATGCGAAGCCTACCCCACCCACCCAGGATTTCTTAAAGGGGGAGGTGGGGTTCACTTCGCTTGGGACCTCCCGAACGAAGGGAATCCCACCTTGGGAGGCCTGGAAATCGGCACCAACACCAGCACAGGGGTTTGCCTCCACATGGGGAAGATGATTCTCGATTTCGGTGTTGGTGGTAATATTTCGGTCACTTTGGAAGCCAGAATATTACCACCATCACCGAGATCGGGATCGTCTTCCCTCGGTGGATGCACACCGCCGATCTTGGTGTTGGTGTCAACCTCTAGGCCTGCGACACCTCCCCCCTCAGAAATCCTGGGGTGGTGGGGTAGGGCTCGCACGTGGCCTCCTGCGTGCACCTCCGCTCACTCCTCGGCCGCGCTCGGCCTGTCCCCCGCGGCCGCCGGGCCGCCCCCAGGAAGGCCGGGAGGACCAGGGACACTCAAGCCGGCCTCGACCGGGCAAGAGGCAGCCAGGCCCCCCCCCCCCCCCCGCACGGCCTCGCTCCGAGGAGGAGGAGGAGGAGGAGGAGGAGGAGGAGGAGGAGGAGGAGGAGCCGCCGCTGGCCCTGCCGGGGTCTGTGCCTGGTGGCTCCTGGACCTCCTGCTGGCCCCACGTGGTGGCCGAGCGGCCCCGGGCCTGGCCATGAACTTGTTGTAGATGGCCGAGCGCTGTGCGCAGAACAGTTCGAGGTCCTCCGACTCGTCGTTCTCGGCCTCCTGCCCCATGAGCTCCATCATCATCCGGTCGTGCGGCGTCGGCGTCGGCGTCTGCTCTGTCGGCGGGTTCACCGATCGGGAGTCCTTGGCGCCTTCAAGGTCCTTCACAACCTTCTTGGCGAGAGGAGCGTGTTGCCTGTCTACCTTGCGCTGCAGTGCCTCCACCTTCACCAGCCACCAGTCGACCACCCCCCGCAGCCTGGTGTTCATCTCGGCCGCGCGGTCGAGGTCGGTACGCGCCTGCTCCTGTCTGCCCAGGTGGTAGTTGCATATTCCACGGCGAAACAAAGCTTTGACATTGAGCTTGTCGACGTCCATGAGGACCTCGGTCAGCTTTCTCTCTGCATCCTCCCACCTATCGTATTTCATGAGGATGAGCGCCCAGTTGAGAAGCAATAGCTTCTGGCACGCCCAAATCTGTTTATTCGCCTTCTCGGCATCCTTGTCTTTCCAGCCGTTCGGCATCCCCATGGACTCAGCCTCGAGGACGTCCATCAGTGAAGAACCCCTCTCGTAGTAGTCCATCGCGCGCAGGTGGCGCCCAGCCTTGAACATGTCGTTACCACGGAGTCGAAACGCGTTTGCCAGGGCTATCCTCTCATCCGTCTTCATCGAGAACTTGGTCTTCCCGACCCCGCTGATGGCAAGAAGTTCGAAGTGGGGCCATCGGCGCTCCCCGTCAGGGTCCACCGTCTCGCAGTCGGCGAAGGCGTGCTCCCCACGGGCGACGACCTCCATGACGTCCCCGACCTTCATGTTGCGCACCACGGCTTCGAGCGCCCATGGGAGCTCCGGAGACGCCATATCCTCCCGCTGCTCTCCGCCTCCCTCGACGGTGCGAAACGTGATGCTCTGCCCCTCGGAAGGCCTGGCGGGGGCGCGGATGTCGTCGACCTGCCTCACAAACTTCTTCACTACACCGTCGGCTCCAGGCTTGGAGCCGGCTGGTGGCAGAGGTCTGCTCACTCCAGCATCCTCCCTGTACTTGGTCCTCTCCGCGTAGTCCTTGGCCAGCTTTGTCCGGTCGCCTGGGTACGCCCCAGGCGGCATATACGCGGGAGCCTGCGTGACACCCGGGGTCGGCATATCAGGCATATCCTCGTGGCCAATCCCTTTCTGCGTCACCTCCTCGCGCTCTGGCTTCTTGTTCGCCTGCAGGTACGCCTCGAACTCGTGCGCGTCCTGGGGGAGACGAGGAGGTACCGATGCCGCTACTCCCCGGGCCTCTCCTGGGATGCGCTCTGGCCAGAATGTCGAGGGGAACCCGGCCGCGGCGACGAGGCGGCCAGGAGGCGAGGGCAGCGGCATGAGCACCTTCCCCGAGATCCGCGGTCTTGACCTTTTCCAATGCGTGGTCCCCGAGCCAAGGATTGCAAAAAACGAAGGATTGCAAAAAAAACCAAGGATTGCAAAAACCCAGGTTTTTTTTGCAATCCTTTGCAATCCTTCGTTTTTTTGCAATCCTTGGTTTTTTGGGACCCACTCCCGGGGAGCCGCTCGTCCTCCCGAGTCACTTGACGGTCCCGGGGTCCAGCGAGGGCCGCGAGGGGCCGAGAGCGGCCGAAGACCTCCACCTCTCGATGCTTCCAACACGTGGACCTCTGTGCCGTCGTCCTCTGGGACACGGGGGCTGCGTTGTGGGCGCGCGCGCACATCGGTGCCCCTGCTTCTTCTCTGTCAACGTCATCATCTGAATGACTAATGCATCCTCGCATAATGCAGACGTATATGTATGCACGTATGCATAGAAAAGGCAAATGCGCGTGTCTACGCACACGCCCATCTCCCCCTTTGAGTCCTTGTACCCGCGCTCCCGCGCAGCTATGTCAATGGCCGACTACACACAAGAGCGACCCTGGGTAAAACTGGCCTCTGGTGCGCCGCGGCTACTTGGGGGCTGCGGGGGGGGGGGCAAGCCCAAGCGCGCAAGACGCCGCTATCGCATCGCGTTCGATCGGGGCACCCCAGTGTGCCCGCACCACAGGTCTAGAGGAAGAACAAGCGACATAAACATGTACTGTTGGAGGTCCGCGTGGATTTCTTGGATCCGCGCTGATCCCCCTCCATGGCGCGCGCAGCGCGCCAGGGACGGCACAGGAGGCGCCGCCAGGGGGGGACCCAGGCGCGGATCCAAGAGATCTGCGCGGAACGATGTTCATGGCGTTTTTTCTCTTCGAACGCACCACAGGCCACTCTGGCGAAAGGCCACTCCTACGTGTAGTCGAAATGGCCACCTCCAGCTCGGCCATCTTCCGGTCCGCTCCCGCGGCCGGCGGGGGTGCCGCGCCCAGCACGGCCCGCCTCTCGAAGGGCGCCGCTGGACCGCCGCCGCCCAACTTCGCGAGGTCGCTGCCGGCCGCCTTCGGCTTCTTGTTTGTGTAAGACGAAGCCAGGACGAGGATAACATCGGGTGAGGATAAATCAAAAAGCTCGGAGATCTGGCAGCACTGGAAGATGTCTCGGGCGCCGCGGCCTTCTCAGAGCGTTCTGGAACGCTCTGAAAGCGTTCTGGAACGCTCTGGAATAGATCTATCCTCGTCCTAGCCCCGTCCAGTTATTGCTTGTCACGAAAATTAACCCAGCGCGACCCCAATGAGGGGAAAACTCCTTATTGCATGGGATTGTTTGGCGTTGTTTGGCGTTGCTTGGCGTTGCTTGGCATTGCTTAGCATTGTTTGGCATTGCCTGGCATGAAGCACCCGGGGAACCGGGGGGATCTCCAGGGAATGGGTAAAGTAGAGCCCCGAGACACCAATCTTGAACCACGTAAGAAGCCCTCGGGCAAGCCTCATTGGTAGAAGCCTAACGCGCAGCTGGCTCCAAGACGTGAGACTGAAGACCGCCGGACAAAACAGAAGCGCCACACACAGCGCCGCCAGGAGCGCACTCGCCACTGGAGGAGGAGGGGGAGAGGGAGAGCGAGGAAGGCAGCGAGCGGCAAGCAGGAGGCAGCGGAGAGGCACGGAGCCTTCGGCTTCTCCTTCGCCTCGGGCTCCAGGCTGACCTCGTCGTTGTAGCCCGCGTCGCCGCAATCGTCGTCGAGGATGCTGCCGAGGTCGGCAGCGCTCAGCATGCGGCCCGCGGGCTCCTGGGCCCGAGGGGTCCGCCGCCACGGCAACGGCGGGGAGGCCGGGCGCCCTGGCGGGAGGGCGGCGCGCGCCCTCGAGCACTGAGCCC